GTTTTGAGTATATTCTTTTACAATGTACTACAAACTGATTGAAGAGCTGACAAATCTGACTTAACCCAAACAAGAATCTTTAAATATATCTGATTGAAAAAAACGTTTAATGAAAATGCATATACAGACATTACATCTAGCATCCTATTTTTAAAAAGTCAAATTACACAATTAAAATCTTTACTGAAAATATGCCTCTACCCCCCGCCACTAGAAAAAAAAGCACTCTACTATCTATTGAGACAAAATGCTTAAATTATTAGAAATCAGTCTGATTGAATATTCATGTATCTTTTTTTGTCTAAAGAAAATCCAGGATTTTATTTTCTGTGTGCACCTTTAAACAGAGTTTAATAAAATTATTGTCCAGCTTATCCCTTCTTTTGAATCCAATGATTGATCCTGGCTTGCACAACCAACTTATAAGAAAGAGAGTAAAGCACTGAAATAAGGTTATAATTCTTCCCTAACCTAAGGTGGAAAAGTAACCTTATGATTATTAAATGTAAATAATAAAAATAAGAATAAAAGAGATCTGTAACTAGATAAAGGGTGAGAAATTGGTTGTATAATGCAGGAGACAGCCATGAGTTAAGGTTCTTCCGGCAATGAGGATTCTACCCAAACATCCCAAGCAAGGTGAGCCCTTGATATCATCAGAGCAAAAGAGAGAAGCTTTTCTGAAGGAACAGCCATAAGATTATCTCCCAACATATTTTTTAGTTTTGCTAAAATACATTTGGTTCTCTACTTCCTTTCTTGCATTAAGATTAATAAGGAATCACTAGTAAAGAGTAAAAAAGAACAACACATAACATAAGGCAAAAACTCCTGCCAGAGAGGAGGACAAAGTAAAGAACCTTTCCAGTGCTGGGAAGAAAGGAGGAAATAAAAGAAAGAAAGAGAAGGATGGGAGTATCCCAGCCACCTACCACCTTCAAGGGAGAAAAAGGCACAGAAATGCTCAGATAGTTTTGTTGGAATTTAAGAACATTGGGAGTGGGTGCCCCCTTTCCATGGTGTAGCTCAGGAGGCCAGGAGCATCTCATAGAAGCCCAAGTGTTTGGCATGGCACCACATTCGACATGGCATGAGAGTGACAGAGCAACATCATGCCCTCTGGGCCTGGTAGATATTTAAACTGGGTGCTTTTGTGGGCATCAGAGCCTCCTTCCCCTCTGGGCCTCTCAGGGAACAGGTCCAATGACATGGATGAGATTTCTCCTTCAGTGTGCTTCTCCAGTAGCCACTCTACACATCGACTCTCACCGTTGAAAGTTCTTTGCCCTCCTCTTAGGTAGAACCTAAAACAGTTCTGGGACAGGTCTGATCTTCATGTGGCCCACATTTGGTCCATAGAAAACATGCATTATCTGTTTGGTCATTAGCAGACATGTATTTATTTCCTAAATGCAATCTTCCAGCAGCTCTCTTCACCTTTACTCAGGCTTCTTTAGTTCTCTCTGGTATGAATGAGCCCCCACAGTCCACAGAGCTCCCAGCTATAGGCTCTCCTAATAGTCCCAATGAAGCCCCCAATTCTTAACTAGGCGTAAGGTAAGAAGCAGACAATCCCCACCCCACCTGCTTGGAGGACTACAGAGAAATTGGACTGCTATTCCACAATGGAGGTAAGGAAGAGTATGTCTGGAATACAGGCGATTCCTTAGGGCATCTCTTAGTATTACTATGCGCTGTGATTCAAGTCAATGGAAAACTACAACAACCCAATCCAGACAGGACTACTAATGGCCCATACCCTTCAAGAATGAAGGTTCGGGGCAGCTCATCAGGTAAAGAACTACAGCCAGCTGAGGACAAAGACAATACGAAATGGTTAGTAGAAGAAGGTAGTTATAATTACCAGCTATGACCACATGACCGGTTACACAAATGAGGACTGTAGTTGTCATGATGTTATGAGCCTTTCTTCCTTATTTTGTTATGAATATGTTTGTGTGTTAAGCAAATATCTTTTTCTTCTCTCTCTTATTCCTTTATCATGTAACACAGATGCATTGACTTTATATCATAGTAATTAAGTATTGTTAACTTTACATTGTAGTATTTAAGTCACATAATATGAAGGAGAAGAGTAAATATCATCCAAGGACTTTATGCCCTCTTCTAGAGAAAAGGTTAGTGTGTTTTTGGTTGTACACGGGATAGTTGTATCAAATGAGATGGAAGTATGACCTTGTTTTTGTCTTTGGAGATTAAGTATGGTTTAAGGAGATGCATATGGGTGCCAAGTTGACATGGGGGAGGGGGACTTGTGATGGTTAATTTTATGTGTCAACTTGGCTGGATCATGGTATCCAGATATTTAGTCAAACCCTATTCTGTATATTTCTGTGAGGGTGTTTTAGATGAAATTAACATTTAAATCAGTGGGTTTTGAGTAAAGCAGATTGCCCTCCATAATGTGAGTGGCCCTCATCAAATCAGTTGAAGGCCTGAGAGAACAAAAGGCTGACATCCTCTAAGGAAGGAGAAATTCTCTCGCAGACTGACTTTGGACTTTATCTGCAACGTCGGCTCTTCCTGATTTTCCAGCAGACTGCTTTGGACTTGAACTGCAACTCTTTCCTCCAGCCTGCTGGCCTCACTCATCAGATTTTGGACTTTCCAAGCCCCAACAATCGCATGAGCCAATTCCTTAAAATAAATCGCTTCCTATGTATGTATGTATATGTATATACAGATCCTATTGGTTCTGTTTCTCTGAAGAACCCTGACTAATACAGCGTTTACCATAACATTCTCTAAAGAAAGTCTCTCCAGATACTCTTCTCTCAGCATTCTGACCCCTTTCTACAACTTAGATTTGACTGAGTATTCCTCTCCTTTAAATGGGCTGCATTTCAATCTGGCACCATACTTGGTTAAAGAGCATCTGTTAGGGGCCAGCCCCGTGGCTTAGTGGTTAAGTGCACGTGCTCCGCTATGGCCAGGGTTCGGACCCCGGGCGCACACCGACGCACCGCTTGTCCGGCCATGCTGAGGCAGCGTCCCACATACAGCAACTAGAGGGATGTGCAACTATGACGTACAACTATCTACTGGGGCTTTGGGGAGAAAAGGGGGGAAAAAAAGGAGGAGGATTGGCAATAGATACTAGCTCAGGGCTGGTACTCCTCAGTAAAAAGAGGAGGACTGGCATGGATGTTAGCTCAGGGCTGATCTTCCTCACAAAAAAAAAAAAAAAAAAAAAGAGCATCTGTTACATCTTCTTACATTTGTAAAATCCTACTGCAACATTCTGTTATAGGTGCTAATAGGGGACAGGAGAAGACCAGTGCTTAGGACAAGGAGACCTCAGTAGGGAACTCACAACCATGGACAAAGATAGGGTCTGTGGTGATCCATGGCAGATGCCAGCATGCCTAGGGACCAAACCAGCAATTCACCACCGTAGGAATCAGCCCAGGACAAAACAGCCCTGAGAGGTAGCGTCGATTCTAAATTGACTGTATTTGTATCTACAAGAGATGGTTTTAAATTAGAGGAGTCCCAGTTAACATGATTGGAAAGTTTATGGGTTTTTTTCTTCCACTAGAGGGAATAAGTAAAAGAAAAACATGAGAGCAATATAAAATCAGTTTTTTACAACAAAGAAAGCTACATGTTTGTTCAGATCTAGGTCATAAAGAGAATTTCAGCTTTTCTGATTCTATTTCACAGAGAGAAATTTGAATAATTCAGACTAACTGACATGTTTTGGCTGTAATAAATTAACCAGAGTATAAGTTAAGCATGAGTATATTGTGAATTCACATAGAATGAGGAAAAGCATGGAACACAGAGATAATCAACAGCCAAAGTTGAAGCAGGACAAAAAGGAGGAAGAGCTACAAATTGATCAGGACGGAACTGAGACATTTCCATTAGCCTCTTCTGGGATTATCTGGAAATACCTGAATCCTTAGAGAGGACAAATTGTAAAGAAATGCCAGAACTATAATGTTTTATTGTAGTGTGTGTGTATGTAACATGCTTAAATGCACATACTTATAGCATATTCATTGTATATTCCTGAGATAAGATAGGTCATAAAATTTGTCTACTTCCAGATATTAATAGCCCCAGACACTGATGGGTACTGGAAGTTGACATTTTGAACGCTTGTGTCTTTTAAGCAACCAAGACTGACAGCATAGCACGATAGTTAAAAGTACATATTCTGGAAGTTTTAAATCACAGCTCTTTCATTTCTTAGTAGTGTAACCTTGGGAAAGTTATATAACCTCTCTGTGTCTCCTTTCCTAATGTGCAAAATGGGGATAATGGTAGCTACCTGATAGGAGTGTTATACAGATTAATGAAGGGACTTAATATCTATCCAGCTCTTAGAACAGTTCCGGGCACATGGTGAGCTCTACATAAAGATTTGTTAAATAAAACTAATATAGGAACACATTAAGACCATGACAATAAATTGTATAATTGTTCAATTTGTTTCATTTGGGTGTTTTATTTATTTTTGTTCTTCTAAACCAATCATTTTGATTTTCATTATCACTTTCAAAAAAGGAGGAAAACCCCAATCACAATTATTATTTTAAAGTTGCTTAAATCAAGTGAGCCAATGGAACAACTACAACTAAAATTGAAGTTCTAGTACATTATTAGAAATTTGGGAATAGCACTAAAATAAAGGAATTACAAGATTGTGGAGATATTAAATTGATATTTACAGAGAAAAGAAGGAAACTGAAAAATCCAGTCTTTCACTGGGAAAATATAAAAATACAGTGGAGCTTTGAAATTCAAACTACCATAACTTTCAACTAGCTAGGGTTTTCCCATTTGACTGAAACTTAGAGTATTTATAAAGGTAAATTTAAAAAATTCTAGGTATAACTTATAATCAACCAACATTTAGGCCAATCTTCTATCTACTGTAATCAATAAAAATTGATAAATTAGAATGATTTACCTGATGCACTGTAAGATTTTTAATTAAAAGTGAATCTGATTAGGTTTAATATACTGTTTTTAAAAACAAGAGAGTGAACTCAAACATTATTAAAGATTTTCAGAGTTGGGGAAAAAAGGAAGCCTAACCAAAAATTAAAAAAAAAAATTAATTATCCAGAATACCTCATTCTTCCAGCATTTGAATTTATCCAAGTTTTATTACTAAGTCCTGATTTCACTTCTGGCATATTGCCTACCATGTCTACAGTTCTAATTTTTATGCTGGCAAAATCACTTGAAATGCACACAATTTGGTAATGTGCTTGTTAACAAAGAAGAAATATTTCTGCAACTGGTAACACAAAAATAACCATTCAAAGACATACTCATAATAAAAGTTCACAAAGAGTCGGCAGCTTAGATCTTTTTATGGGGAAAGCTTCTGGTTTTCCATATAAGCTAACTTAGAACTGAGAAATAGGAAAGTAACTAACAGTAAAAAGTAACCTAGCCACCCACGAAAAGCATTCGATATGAGGTAGACCAGGACATGGGCAAACAGATTACACTGCACACTTGGCTTTAGGGACCTGGAGTCTGTGGTCATTACCACTCATAAGCTTTGAGATTTCCCACAGTTATTTACACAAATAGAGCCTTGCATCATTAAATCCTCATCAGTGCTGCCACTTTGTCCCTGAGCACAAAGAATGCTGAAGAAGGAAATGGTATTTCAGAGCTTCATCTTTAGGAAACTGAGAGGTTACAGTTTTCCTCCCTGGAGAACTCTGGCTAGAGGCTGAGAATCTCCTGGACATTTGTCTTCAATTTCTTTCACTTGTCCTTTGTCCAGAAAGGTCACTGTCTGTTCCTCAGAAAAAGCATCAAGCCAAGCCTCTTCTTTGAGACGTGTACATATAAATTCTCTCTTATACCCCTCAGAATAGAGGCAACCTTGATAAACACTCAGAGAATATTTTTGTCTTAGTTAGGTTCAGTTGTTACAACAGAACATCACAGACTAGGTGACTTCAACAACAAATATTTATTTTTCACAGTTCTGGAGGCTGGGAAGTCCAAGATCGAGGTGCTGGCAGATTCGGTACCTGGTGAAAGCCCTCTTGCAGACTGCTGCCTCCCTGCTGTGTCCTCACATGGCATAGACAAAGAGACAGAAAGCCAGGGGAGAGAGGGAGAGATCCCTCTCAGATATCTTCTTATAAAGCACTTAATCTCATATAAGAGCTCCATCCTCATGACCTCATCTAAACCCAATTACCTCCCAAAGGCCCTACCTCGTAATACTGTCATATTGGGGTTGGGGTTTCAACATATAAATTTTGAGGGGACACACACATTCAGTCCATAACAATTCTCCTACCTGTTCCTGCCTCTGATCTCAAAAGGGTTTTCTTATACCTAGATGATATCTACACCATCACCCTCTCTTTGTATTATACCCTCTGGCCTGGCAAACGGACAGCTTTGATAACAAAGGTAAGTAGTATTTTCTGATCTATCTCTTCAGCTTACATGATATGCGGAAAATCAAAGATTAAAACGGGACAGAATGGCTTAAGTCAAAAGATCAGACTCTGAAATCAATATCTGTTTGATTTTGTATAAAATGCTTAATCTTTTTTCCTCCTCTTTCAAATTGGGTAACAATAATACCTGCTTCTCAGATTGTGCTGTGAATATTAAATGAGATCCATGAACTAGTCATTCATCCCAGTACTTCTTGGAGTGCCTACTGTGTGCAGATACTGTTGTAGATACTCAGCATAGCACAGTGAAGAAGACTGTCAAAATCTCTGCGTCACTCTAATCGGGGAGATAAATAAATACGTGCACTTTATACTTAGGCGGTGCAGAGGACTATGTAGAGAAACAAAAGCAGTATGAAAGGCTAGAGAGTAACAAAAAGTGCTATTGGGGATAAGGGTGGTCAAGCAAGGCCTCTCTTTGGAGATGAACTTGAGTGGAGACCTACTAAAGTGAGCGAGCAAGCCATGCACACGTGTAGAGGAAGAGAATTCTAGACAGAGAGAATAGCAAGTGCAAATTCCACGGGATAGCAACATGTTTGGGGTCTTCAACGAACAATGAGGAGGTCACTGTGGCTGATGTACAGTGGCCAATGAAGAGAGTATGGGGAAACGAGATCTGAGAAATAAGGGGAAAGGAGTGGAGACGGATCATGGAGAGCCCAGCAAAGAGCGAGTTCAAAAGGTAGTTATTATCAACACATTTTATCCCTGTATTGTTGATACAGGTCAGGATTAGATGGTTTCCCTCAATACTGTCAACAAGTCCTCTTTCAAAAGAAACACTTGCTGAACAGATTATGGTCCTGTCACTTTCCTACAATGCTATTAGTACAGTATTTGGTTTCTCATTGACCCTGGGCTTTCAATAAGTGGCAATTGCTTTTCCTCTATCCAAGGTCCTGTTCATCCTAATGAAGATGTATCGTTGGCACTTGCTTCCTGTGTGGCTGGGAAAGAGCAGTGGAACCAAAGTCCTCATCCAGATGGAGAAGCTCAGCAGAACATCTGCCTTACGTGTCTGTCCCCTCCCTACCTCCTGCTGCTGTGTTAGCTGCCAGCCACTGCAGCAGCTCCTGAGTCAAGGGCCCTCCTCTTCTGGTGTTTTCTTGGAGCTTTGACAGATTATCTGCACTGTCATTCCCAACAGCATCATGCCATCTTTCTCAAAATTGCAAGAAGATCTTGATGGAAATCTCAGTCCTTTAAAAAACTGCACTATTGTTTGATTTCCAAAATGAGATCCATTAAACCATAATCATGCCTGCAAATTTCATATCAACTGGCTTTAGGCAGCTAATACATTGCATCAATTACATGGATAGCCCATATTGGTCCATATGACATTGAAGAAATGAGACAGCTATGGAGAACACATTCATCCCTCTCTGTCTCCTCTACCACCGCTCTAGTCCAAATCATCCTCACGTCCCGCCTAGATTATTACAAGACCTCCTAACTGATCTAGTCTAAACCATCACTTGCCTGATTACTCCTAATACTAAATAGCCTCCTAACAAGGATGTTTGTTAAAATGACTGTACTTTCACCACTGAATTGTTTATGCACCTTTGTAAAAATCAAATGGCAACCATACAATGAAATATTATTTAGGAACAAAAAAGAAATGAGCTATCAAGTCATGAAAAGTCATGGATGAATCATAAATGCTTACTTTCAAGTGAAAGAAGCTAGTGTGAAAAGGCTACATGTCTGATCACAATTACAAGGCATTCTAGAAAAGGCAAAACTACAGACAGTAAGAAGATCAGTGGTTGCCAGGGGTTCAGTAGGGAGGGGTTGGCTAGTTGAAGCATAGGAAATTTTTTAGGGTGGTGAAACTATTCTGCACACACGTAATTGCTGATACATGACACTAAGCATCTGTCAAAACCCATTCAACTTTATAGCACTTTACAATGGACCTTAATATATGCAAGTTTTAAAAAATTGCTTAGGATAACATGGGATCCCACGATGGGGTGCAAAATGTGACAAAGTAATCCAACTGTATTACCAATGAGTGAAACAACCTCACTGGAAGGGGTAGGGTGGAAAGGTGCTGACCTAAGTACCTTCTGAAATTAGTGCAGTTTTTAAAATTAAAGGTAAAAGAAACTATTTGAACGCTATGCTCAATCACTTCTCATCCTTTTGGCTAAGATCAAGTGTAAACATTATGCTCTAGCTGATAAAGTTTTTTTCCCATACAAGTACGGGTTAACAAATCTAACTCAGCTATACATGTATACTGGAATTAAACAATTAAGAATATAGATGTAAGATGGTGGGAGCCAGATTTCTCACTGTTGGAGTGGGAGTTTACAGATAAGCAAGAGAGGGAGCTAAAATGATGCATATGTTAACAGGATTTGAGTTGGAGACATCATTATTAACTCATGTTTAGCTTAATATAAATTAAAATGGTTACATATAGAAATGTTTATAGACACAAGTTAGCATACACACATATATTTCCTTGATCCATCAACTGAGAGGGCCTAGAACCAATGACATCTCAGTAGCAATGAACATACCTAATGCCCAAGTCTTCGTTTCTAATATCATTATCTGAGAAGAAGAACCAAGTCTTCTTGGAGAATGGGGAATTCTAAGACTAGACCAGAAAATATGGAAGAAGAGCCTAGAGGAGGAAATATACAAGATGAGCCAGGAGCATCCTGCAGTGCCAGAAAGTAAGGAAGTACTTTTATAAAAACCATGAGGGCATTTGAAAGTAAAACAGGAGCCAACTGAAAGAGTTCCCAATGTCCAAACTTGGAAGAACTTGACAATAAAGTGGTATTGGATTATAACCCCCCCAAATTATTATTTTTAATTTTTAAATTATTTTTATTATTATAGTATCATAAAATTTTGTTATTTATATAAAATAAATATCCCTGGTCCCATACTGATAGAAATAAACTACTCAATCAATAAATAAACAGAGAGAAGAACTAAATCTTCCATGCAGAAGAATTGCAAATAATTTATTTGCATAGTCTTCCCTCAAGGAGACAGGAGCATAACTCCCCACTCCTTAAGTGTGGGCTACACACAGTGACTTGCTTCCAAAGAGTAAAATAAGGAAAGGAGGGGAAATGAGCAACTTTTCAGTTAAGAAACTTGACAAACACTATTTCAGCCAGATGATCAAGGTCAACATTAACAGTGTTAAGTTATGTTGGTAGTATGTGCTCTTGATAAAATGTGATGAAAAAGGCTCTTTGTCTCTATGGTCTTCTTTCCAAAAAACCGTAACCCCAGTCTAATTATAATAAAAAAAACTTCAAAAAAATCCCAATTGAGGGGCAATCTATAAAAGATCTGACCAGTACTCTTCAAAACTGTCAAAGTCAACAAAATAAGGAAAGTCTGAGAAACTGTCACAGTCAAAAGAAGCTTAAGGATACATGACAACTAAATGTAATATGTATCCTACATAGAATCCTGGAACAGAAAAAGAACTTTAGGTAAAACCTAAAGAAATCTGAAAAAAGTATGGATTTTATTTAATAATAATGTATCAATTTTGGTTTGTT